CGGGTGGAGAAGGGCGAGTGTCGCCGTGGGGAGGGGAGCGTGGCCCCGGTGGGCGGTGGGCGCACTCGCTGTGCGAACGCGCGTGCCGGCTCTGGGAGGTTCATCTGCCTTGTGCCTTTGTTCTGGGTTTTCTCTGAACTTTGTTATCGCAGAGTTTCCTGCTGGGGTTTAACTCCGAAGAAGCCACAACCTTGAAGTGCGACTGAAAGTCATTAAGTTTCCATTTGACAGTTCAGCTCGTCAGGTGAGTGAGAATAAATGCAAGTCTGATGAGATACACGCATCTCCTCCAGTGCAGGGTGCAGCTGTGCAGAAGCACCGGAGATTTGTGGGCGCTGCAGAGAGCACAGGGCTTGGGAAATGGCTGCTGTGTGGTTGGAGCCAGGTGGTTTCAGCCTCGTACCGGCCGGCCTCACCCGTGCCCGAGATTAATTCCCGCGCAGACTCCGTGCTGGAGTTCGTCCTATGCAGTAACAGGTGTGAGCATTCATGGAGCATTTTGATGGTCATGTATGATGCTGCATACAACAGGTTCCTATGTTAAGTCAAGAAAAAATAGTCTTTGTCTTGCACGTTAGTTTCTTTAATGTATACTGAATCTTCTTTTAGAAAGCATCTACCAAAATGAAACTGATCCTGCCCTTCGTTTACAGGCAGGTTTTATAGACGCTGGAATTAGAACTTAAATACCTCGCTTAAATGTTCTCACTTGATTTATCACTGGTGCTATCTGAATTCCCGAACTTTATTTAACATGTAGCAGGGAATAATCACTATTTGGATTCTTTACTTGAGCGACTTGTAAAGGTTTGTCCGAGGTTGTATGTTTTTGTTCTCCTGTTACAATAGTGACTTTTGTTAGTGTTTTCCAGTTTTTACCCTACAGTTGATAAGTCCAGCTGAGGAGGTCACACCTAAGGAGAACCATGCTCTTAAAAGTATGGGAAGGGAGGGTGAGGAAGGCCTGCACTGTGAACACAACTCCAAAAAACTAGACTTCTGAAAAAATCTACAAAAAAGCACCTTTTCTTGCTTGTTGCTCCTATCAGTTGGCTGTTCTGGTTCACAGGGAGGTCACTCCAGATGGTTGCTCTGGTACAACTGAGAAGCTGTCAGCCTGTGGGAGGTGGAAGGCGCTCCTTAAACCAGCTTTGCCATCAGATGGTGCTTTGTGTGTGGCTGCAGCTGATGTGCTAGCAATAACTGAGCTCTCCGAGTGCAGTTCAGGACAAACTAAATTAACATATCATTGCTGCTGAAATGGGATCCCCTGCTCCCCCAGTCCCAACAAAATGTTCTGTTTGCCTATCTTGAGCTGGTGCTAGAATTTGTCAGGCCCCTCTGTGAGCTGATTTAACCCACTAAAACAGCAAAAACAAGGCAAGGGGGAAAAAACAAGTAGCTTTTTGATCACGTGAGTAGAGTAAAGATGCTTACAGGAAGAGGCAGCAGTATCAAACCGTATCAAAGGTGACATGAGGGAGAGGAAGGACTTGTGGCTTGAAGCAGGGGAGGGATAGAAATCTGGCTTTCCTGCTCCCCCCTTTCTCCCCACCATGCCTGATCTTGTTCTGCGAAGGGTCCACATTGGGCTGTAGAGACTGCAGCGTCGACCGCATCCGTGCAGTAGCTGCCAGAATGTTGTATTTCCTGTAGAAACAGAGTTTGTATTTTTAGTAGAGTCTTACGAATCAGACACTGCACACTAGCAGCACCTGAGCAAGAAGGATTGTAGTAATGTTTGTATCACAGGTGCTGCAGCATGCTGTAGTTCTGTGTCATGCTGTTCTAACCAGATGTACGAGCTGTCCCCGTTAATTTCAGTGGAGTGTTAATTTGGGCACCTGATGGCTTAACAAGCTCTGGGTTAATTCTTTGTGTCACAGCTGCTTGTCCTTCGGGTGATGCATTTTTGAAGAAATGCAGTTTATACTTTGCCGATGTCATAGAAATGAAACAGTATATCTGACTCTGGGCCTCCTAGTGCCAGCTCCGAGTGCTGCGTCCCTGTGACACTGAGCCGGTATAAGCTCACTTTGCTGGTTCCAGTTTGCTCAGACCCATCTGAGAGGTTAATGTTGTGCCAGCACGCTTTCTGTTGGCCAAGTGTCTGGCCTTCCACTGTGAGTATAAACCAACATGGGCGTTGTGTTCTCTGGCCATTTCCACAGAAAACCAGTCGCGTTTCCGTGATCTGGTCAGCTGTGTATTTAATCTGGCACTATTTTACCACACCGCCACAGACTGAGAGTAGCTTCTTCCGTGCTGGAAACGAGATGGTGGCCAAAAGCAGTGAGTGACTAGCACTGGGGTGCTACTGGAAGTTTTCATGGCAGGAACAGTATGGGGCAGGATTTTAAAGAAAGCTGGGTAGTGAGATGCTGCTTGTCCTAGCTGCTTCTAGATGATGCTGATCCAGAGAAGACGTGTCTGTGTAGGGCAGTGGTCTCTAGCTTTAGTTGGATTTCTGGCTAAAAGCCTGAGCAGGTAAAGTTCTCTGTTCACAAAATGGCAGATCATGTTTTGTGCTTTCAGTCTCAGTTTTAATATGCTTTCCTATGGCAGTCAGCAGTGGAGGGGGTTCTTTCAGGCTCCTTACTGCGTGTGACCTGGAGCTGTTTCTGGAAGGCCAACTGAAAGGGTTTGGGGCAGTCCTAGGAAACTTGCCTGGGATTAAGGGAGGGCTTAAGGTATAATTTTCATTGTCGCAACCGGCCAGCAGAAAAGAAGGCCAAGTACAGTGCCTTTTTGTGATAGTAAAATGCCAGTCCTCAACTTGCTTTTCACTAATTGATCTGAATAGAGATGCCACATATGGTTAGCAAGGCCCTGGAAGAGGCAACAGGACCTAGGGAGCAGCACAAATTAAAGGGGTGTCTGTGGGGCACTTCCTATTAAAATCCTCCCTTGCTACAGAGCCCCACAGGTATCAGCAGCCCTGCTGGCTTTCTGTGGTCTAACTGGCATTAGGTTCTCTGGGCCTCGTGCAAAGCAGGGTTAGGAAGGAAACCCATATCAAGAAGCAAGGTGCCAGTTCCTTAATTTGGGTTGTCAGCAAGTGGCTGCTCCAAAACTGGCTTTGTCGGTGTCAGTGCAGTGATAGTTTGCCCTCGGAAAAGATGGCAGCGCCTCTGATCGTGTGCCACCAGATGAAGGATTGGAAGCTCTCCAGTTTCCAAGCAGAGGCATATAGTGGCTCCTTTCTAGCTCGTGCTATATTAGGAAAGCCTTTTTATGATAACTTATTGATCTCTTCTCATTATGATGAGTCTGGTAATAACTGATGATTAGTTTTATACCTTGTATTTTCATAAAAAGACAGCTCTGAGAGGCTATTTGAGTATAATAAAACTAGATTGCTTTATTTGATGAGATAACAAAGTAACTGCTATTTTAAATGACAAGCACCCGTGGCAGTGTTTGGTCCAATCCATCTTTTCCGCAAGGTTATTCCTGAATATGCATTGTTGTCTTACATTGAAAGAATCTGCTGGGTTACCTTACAGCTCTCTAAGCTTGCAAGGCTGACATAGGCAAAAGGGAGCACTCTTCAGTGCAACACTCTGCAAATGGGTATCGAAGCTTATCTTTTCCTTTTCACCTGTATTTACTGTATCAAGAAGCAAAAGGTATTGATTCTTCCTACAGATCCTGCCTAAGCAAGTACTGTACCTTAGACATGATTGTAACAGTGACGCAACTTAACATCTCCCTTTTGGTCCTTTGTGGACTGTTGTAAGGTGAATAATCTGTCATTTGGATGACTTCTGAATCAAAGAAATATCATCATGTTTGATTGATGTGCGGTGGTTGAAAGATGGCGCTTCCAGAAACACTTAGGGAGAGGGAAATTCACTTCTGGGCTGCAGGCTAGGTTCTCGTGCCAGGTGTCTGTCAAAACTAAATGGTATTTTAAAGCTTAGAAACGTCTAACCAGTAGCTTTTCAGTCTGCATGTGTCAAAATGAGCTTTGCTTAAT